ATAACCCCAAAAAAATGCTGATCTCCTGTCAACTTTCTTTATTTTTTATTTATTCCTCATTTTCCTAGTGACGTCACAGGTGGTATGCGCGAACTGAACGAAATTGGAGCCGCTATCGATCATACCTTGTATTCTTTGTACCATGTACTATACCTATATCGCTGAAAAGCTTAAAAAAATGGCGCTTTTTATGAAGTCATGGCCAACTATGGTTTCCATTTAAAAAAAAACATAATGTTTGTGTCATATGTCAAAAATGACAGGCTTTAGGAAAAAAAACTGAAAACACAAACTCATTAGGTATGTGATTATCTACAACTTTTATCTGAAACTTTTTGTCTGAAATACTATATGATCGAATAAAAATGGCGTCAGCGATGGCTATGAAATGACAATCGATGATATATTTCCCATATAATTTTACATATAAAATGACAGCGATCTTCATTTCATAGCCATCGTTGGCGCCGTTTTTATTCGATCATACGGTAGATTATAATGGAATTAGAGAAAAGTTTTAAAATAGCCAAAATTTGTTTTTTTCGAAATATCTAGTGAGCCTTGAACTTCTCCGAAAAATCCGAAAGGCGCATATTTATGACCCTACAAAACTGCAATTATTCTTTCCCCATTTAACCGACTCTCTATCTCCAGTAGTTTCCGAGATACCCATAGAGAACATCGATCGTAGGAAACTCACCCTGTATAGTATTTAGAAACTAATAGAAACTAACTGTTACTATTATTTGACTAGATTAATTTGATTAATAAGACTCGACTAATTTAATTTAAAATAAATTTGATCAGATTTTTTTTTCGTATATTCTACTACCAGAAAACCAAAATTATATGATAACGCACTTTTCAACGAAGTTGAAGGAAGATATAGTGTATCTATCACAATATTTAATAGAATTATTACAATTAGAAGAAAAACAAAAAGAAAATATACCCAAATACCTCATCTACAAAATAAACTAATATAATATCTTATAAAAACACTACACAACTACTTCTTGTATTCTACCCTGAAAAAATTATCAAACTTACTAATTAATCAAACAAAAAGAAAAAATAACCAAATTATCCCTTCACCTACTACTTAACTACCAAATAATAAACTATAAAAACACTACTAAACTATTTCTGGTATTCTACACTAAACATTATAATTAAACCTAATAAAATTAATCTGATTTTACACTACAACCACTACAACTACAAAATATGAACATTTTTTAAAACTAGAAGAAACAGAACTTCGATACGTGCGACCAGTATTAATAGATCAAGCGGACAAAGAATATAAAATACTTTAAAAATGTGCATTCCAGAAAGAAAAATATCTCGAAAATTACCTAAATAAACATATTTTTTTCTTATCAGTGAAAAGCATCGGCCTCGTCGGCCTTGCGGAATTTATCGGGTATTTACAATGGTCGAATTGTATAATTACCAGCTTTTATAGCATATCTAATAGACAAAAAGTATCTGGTCGATTAGTAACCAATTGGCACAGTCCGAAAATTATCGATTTTTATTTTCTCTGTTTTTATTGGTCGCTTCAAAATTCAGAGTAACAAAAAATATTTTTCTGTAGTAAAAGACTGTGAAATACGCCCCGCCATCTGGTGCTTTACATCCATAAACATCTTAGGTTGAGCTACTTTAAAAATTCATATACAAGGATAATACGTAGATATGGTTCAAGTAAATAAAAAAATGAAACTAGACTACTTCAAATAAAACAATAAGAATTAAAAGATTAATATTAATATATAATAGTAGTTATTTCTACTGAACAGAATAACCTTAACGTCAATAAATATTTTGTGATAATTCGCATAGGTTGATTAAAATCGAGTTTCACGTTAACGTTCAGGCTTCGTTTCTAATCGAATACTATTTTTAGAGCCAAGTGGGTTTGCGGTAAAATTATCATTCTGAAAATACATAAATTTATAATAATTACCGAGAACAGTTTATAGATAATCCATCAAATAAATCATATAATGTCTACAAACGATATCCAAGAATTATAGAGAATAAACAATCTGACTTTTACAGGATTAATTCCTGTGCTGCTGGAATATAGATTTTAAATTATTAAAATTTTTAATTAGGTTTTGAGTGAGTTTTAGATTTACTTCACATCGAAATCTCACTCGAAATTGCAAAAATGTAAATTCTTCCAGTTATTAACAATTCACACAATTTTAATAATTCAACACATTTTAAACTCTTGTAAAATAAGTATTCTCTTAAAATTTAACACTTAAATAACTATGTGAAAATATTAACTAAACACCGCTAAAGGATATATCACCAAACCTTATATTTTTGAAATCAGAAAATGATGTCTATTCAACTCTTTGATTAAGAAGAGTAAGGAAGGAGCATATCAAAAATCTTAGGTACACCGCGATGGGACTCAAATATGGCCGACTTAAATTCCGGTTTATCAGTGCCGTTCTAATTTTATTAAAAAAATGTAAAACTATGATGTAGGGTAGACGTGGGGTAGACTCAATAATTTGTTATTTTATTTTACGTTGTGAATAAATGTTGGTAGTTATTAAAATTGTTATAAAATATATAATTCTAATAAAAATAGATAAGTTATAATAAGTATTTATTAACACAAACATCCGATACGCTACTGAAGCAGGTAAGTCAAATTAACGTATCAAAATTCTTTGACATCTGATTTTTGACAAGTAGTAAATAAAAGCTAAAATGCAAGAAAATATATAATTTAGTTAATTTAAATTGAATTTCATAAATGATCGGTTTACTACACGTATGTATATTATATAGCCACTTACTAGCGAAAAGTTGTTCCATTATTTCACTCAATTTTTGCCGAGATCTACCGCACGCTACACAACCAACTATTTTAGAGTCTTTTTCGATAAATCGCGATAGCGTCACTGTTAATTTAAGTTCTGCCACAATTTCCATCTACTATCTGCCACAATTTTCCTACTACCTTTATGCAACTATCAGTAGTAGAATAAATAATAAATAACATAAAATAAGCTCCGTAAAGACTGACAAATCTACAAAATTTCAAATCAAATTCAAATGTGTCAAATAAATCGTCAAACAGAACTGTCAAGGATCCCCACCCTAGAGAGCTTTTTCCGCCCACCATGCATGAATACATGGATAGCATTATGCTCCTTCCTTAGTCTTCTTATTCAAAGATTCAACTAAAGACTAGCCATTAAACCAAAATATTTATTATAATATACAGGGTGGTCCGAACTGTATTCCGGAAACTTCGGCGGCATATTCTGCACATAAAAATAAGTAAAAAAGTTCGTATAAACGTATGTCCTAAATTGCTTCGTTTCGGAGATACAGGGTGTAGAAGTTTCATTTTTATTTCGAATTTTTCCAAATAGTTTATGAAGTAACGGCAATATTTGGATGAAACTTGGTGTCTGGGAGTTTTTTGACATGAGAAATTTGATTCTGATGTCAGTATGACTCCTACTTGTAGAGGGCGCCACCTACATATTTTTAACTGGTTTGAAGAGCAATAACTTTTCGTCCGTACCTGTATAAAACTACAGAGTACAAAAATTACGACGTATTATTATTACGACGTATTATATATTATTTATTACTTAAAAAAGTCACTTAGTAAAAATCGCTACAAGTAATGATTCTCGAGATGTTTGGAATCGAAATTATCAATACGTGTCATCATTGACATAAATCAAACATGTTGACTAAATAGTTATTAGACTGAAATCATGAATTTGATGTTTTGGTGCCAAAACTTCAAAAGAAAAAGTTTTATTATCATTTTTTCGCAGAAAAATGTATGATTAATTTAGAAAAATAAAAATTTCCAAAATTTATTATTTCAGTCAAATAACTATATCTACTCAACGTGTTTATTTTTTGTCAATAATGACATGTATTGACTATTTCTATTCTAAATATTTTGAGAACGATTGCACTCACTAGAAACTCATGGAAATGTATATTTTTTCACTCATTAGTTTTATACAGGTACGGACGAAAAGTTATTACTCTTCAACACAATTAAAACAAATGTAGGTGGCACCCTCTACAAATAGGAGTCATATTGACATCAAAATCAAATTTTTCATGCCAAAAAACTCTCAGACACCAATTTTCATCCAAATATTGACGTTACTTCAGAAGTTATTTGGAAAAAATCGAAACAAAAATGAAACTTCCACACCCTGTATCTCTGAAACTAAACAATTTAGGACATACATTTATACGAACTTTTTTACTTATTTTTATCTGCAGAATATACTGCCGACATTTCCGGAATACAGTTCGGACCACCCTGTATGTTAAAAAATGCAACTAATGTCAAAATTTTACATTTCTTATAGTTGTTGTTATTTTAAAAATGACTTTCATACTTTGCTAAAAAAATATATACTAGTATGATACATTTTTGAATTCGGAGAAAAGGCGACTATCTAATGCGCTACTAATATACAGGGTGTCCCATTTAAAAAGTTTTTTTTAGTTTCAAAAATCTGACATGTGACACCTACTCTCATTTTTGACAACACTCGCAAAAACTTGGCTGAAACTGCTACAACATGCTTTTTGAATGAATGCTTTAACCCAACAAACAAAAAAGTTATAAGCTTTTGAAAGGGGGTCAAACTAAAATGATAACCCGGTACATAAAATACATTTCATTCATTTGTGAGGTTAAGTATCACAATTTTGACATAAAAATAATGCAGTTTATGTAGAATTCTATAAGAAACACAAATGGTAAAACGAAATAGGGGTTGCTATTTAAAATGTTAGGGGTAGGTGCCCTGGGGGTCAAGAGGTTGAAAGTAACACGACAAAAAATGCCCCAAAAATTGTCCCCCTTGATATGTAAATTGACGTGTTTCGACAAATTTTCATACAATCATCCGTAGAGGCAATATTAAATACTGTTCGTTTTCAAATTGTCACCCAGTATGGTATTAAACGTGAAAAATACTCACCGGAGCTATAGCAAATATAGCCATAGAGATTAAAATCGTTATGACAACAATTAACAGTTTGGCCATCCCCAGAACAAAGTCACCAATGTAGTTTATTGCAATCACATTTCCAAGATTGTCGATCAAAATTTTCGCTGCTCTCTTGCCGGATTTCACAAAAGGTTGGCCATGAAGGGCTAAAAAAATAAAAGTTTTATATAAAAAAGAAAAAAAAACGCTTGGACTAAATACATACAGGGTGTTTCAAAAAATATGTGCCATATCTCGTGGGGAGATTCCTCATGTAAAAATAAGATTTATTTTTCATATCAACATAGGTCCGATACTGCTTTGTTTCGTAGCTACAGGGTGTTAAAGTCTTAATAATCTTTCGATTTATTATAATTTTCTTCCAAGTACTTTTAATGATTCGAATGAAATTTTGAGGGCAAAAGTTACTATACATGCTACATATTTTAATGCTAAAAAAGTGTCGACAAATTCATCAGGGACGTGCATATGGGTTATCACCTTAGAGTAAGTTTATCAAAAAAAAAAATCATGTGCACCACTGATTTTTTTCTTTTGATATAAAAATTGTATAGGCCGTTTAATGCCAATTAAAATTTATCTCTTGATATTTTGTCGAATTCGGCCTTCTTGATGAGATAAATGCAATTTTATTAATCACAATTAATAAAATTAAAAAAAAATAAATTAATAAATTATATATTTTACCTAATTATTAAATACTAGTTGAAGCCTGGCGTATCCGTCACATCAGGAAAAAAAATACTTTTATTTTTTTTAATTAAATGAAAAACAAAAAATCCGGCGACGACAGTTTTTAGAAAAGCCAATTAGCTATCTTTTAGTAAAAAATCAACTTTCTAGAGCAAGTCGTTCCTTCAGTAGAGACGACACAGATAAACATTAGCATTTTATATATGTAGATTATTACCATTATAGTTATTATAACTATTAGTCCAACCTACAGCAATTTCAAATAAAAAAAATTATGGTATTTAAGATAATTAAAGAAAAACTAATTTTAAAAAGCTTTAACATTCTGTAACTCCAAAACTATGCATTTCCATACCCATGTTTATAGAAACTTTTCTCATATCTTTTGATGAGGAATCAATGAGTACTTATTTAAAACTTTCGCAAATTAATGATATTAATTTTTTTTAAAGGTTGCTATTAGACTTGGATTAAGGCAAATTAAAAAAATTGCGTTTATCTCATCAAGGAGGCCCAAACCACAAAAATATCAAGAGACCAGTTTTAGTCGGCATTAAACTGCTTACACTATTTTGCTAACAAGAGAAAAAACGTCAGTAGCAAAAGTCACTTTTTTGAAAAATATTCCAGTGATAACCCATATGCAGTTCTTGGTGACTATGGCGACACTTTATTGGGTTTAAAATATGTCGCATTTATAGTAACTTTTACCCTCAACATTTTATTTGAAACGCTAAAGGTACTTGGAGGAAAATTATAATAAATCGAAAAAATATTAAGACTTTAACACCCTGTAGCTACGAAACAAACCAAATCAAACCAAACCACACCTATGTTGATATGAAAAATCAATCTTATTATTACGTGAGGAATCTCCCCACGAGAGATGGCACATGTTTTTTGAAACACCGTGTATAAATGGAAAGAGAGATTCTTTTAAAACTTCGCTAGAATCATGAACCTTAAAATTGGTAGCTATAATTGTCATACTTTAACAGAATTCCCACCATTACTAATTATTAACCCTCCAGTTTTAACAAGGCATCGTAAATACTGATGTCGCCATAGAGCTGGTAGAGGATATTCCTGCTTTCTCACTAGAGGAACTACAAAAAGCCATCGGGAGTTTAAAAAATAAAAAGGCTCCTGGCCCAGACGGCATGCAGGCGGAAGTTCTTAAGATAGCACTTCAATCAAACCCTGATCTGTTGCTGACAATGTACAATGCTTGCCTGTCGACAGGAGTTTTTAGCAAGCGTTGGAAAGTTGCACGCCTTGTCCTGATCAGCAAAGGAAAAGGAGATCCAACAGAGCCGTCCTCATACCGACCATTGTGCATGCTTGACGCAGCGGGGAAAGCCTTGGAGAAATTACTGAAGCCACGATTGCTTAGCGCAATAGAAGATGCTGGGGGATTACCTCCTAAACAATATGGTTTTCGGTCTAGAAGATCTACAACTGATGCTGTCATGGAGGTCGTCGAAGCTGTTCGAAGAGCGGAAAACCGCAACCGCCATTCACGCCGCATTGTCCTACTCGTGACCCTTGACGTTAGGAATGCATTCAATTCAGCAAACTGGAACGATGTGCTTACAGCCTTAGAAAAATCTTTTCACATACCGAAATATCTTCTACGAATGATAGACGACTACCTAAGAAATCGCGTTCTCATTTACGAAACTAAAGAAGGGTACAGAAGGAAGACGATAACATCGGGGGCTGCACAAGGATCTATCCTTGGTCCGGATCTATGGAATGCGTCTTACGATGGCCTATTGAGAACAAATATGCCCGTGGAAACAGTATTGGTCGGATACGCCGATGACGTCGCCGCACTTATCGCAGCTAGAGATATGGAGATGGCCCAAATCAAATTAAGGAGTGTGATGCTAACTATTAATAACTGGATGACGAACCATGGACTATCACTGGCCCTTATGAAAACAGGAATTGTGGTTCTCACAAAAAGCAGAATAAACAAAGTGCTCCCATTCTAAGTAGGGGGAGAGATAGTTACATCAAAACCAGCAGTAAAATATCTTGGCATCACCATAGACAATAAAATGACCTTCTAGGAACAGATAAAAATGACCGCAGGCAAGGCCGCTAAAGGTGTCACAGCACTGAGTAGACTTGTGGCCAACATGAGTGGACCCTAGTCAAGTAAACGGCGATTATTGATGTCGACTGTTCAGTCGGTTCTTCTATATGGCGCTGAGATTTGGGCAGTAGCTCTATCGAAGGAAAAATATAGAAAACGTTTGGCCCAAGTGCAGAGACAGGCAGCACTCAGAGTAGCTTCATCTTACAGTTTCCGAACCTGCAGTGCTGGTTATCGCAGGGATAGCACCTATAGCTCTACTTGCCAGAGAACGGTATGCCATATACCAAAGGAAAACCGAATTGAACCAAAAAGAAGTTAAAAAGGAGGAAATCAACAGGACTTATGAAGCATGGCAGAGATTGTGGGAACAGGAGAGTAGGGGTCGCTGGACTGCGCGACTTATTAAATCGGTGAAAACCTGGACACAAAGGGAACGCGGGGAAATAAATTATTACTTGACCCAGTTTCTTAGCGGCCACGGCTATTTTTTATCGTATCTTGAAAAAATGAGAAAGGTAACATCACCAGTATGCCTTTACTGCGAAGGTTATGACGACGCAGAACATACCTTTTTTATATGCGAGAGGTGGAGCGTATACAGAAGGAATATCGAAGAAGAAATTGAAGGACAACTATCCCCTCATAACATCGTCCAAAAAATGCATCAAAGCCCTGAAAACTGGAACCGCATATCAAGGTATGTGGAAAAGATACTAAGGGAAAAGAAAAGCGACCTGGATAACCGCTGATACCATAAACAGAAGCGAGCCCGAGGGCGATAAAAAACGGACTAGTCTCGAAGTAATGTGCTAAACGGTCCCGAACTAGAGTCCAAGACGTAAAAGGAGGTGTTTTAGTCGGTATTTATTAAGAGAGATTTAAAAAAAGGCATCGTAAATACAATTTTAAACAAAATATCAGTTGGGCTTTGGTTGGTGGCACTACATTTATAAACTAAAGTAGTGGCACTATTAAATATGCTTATTTAGGGATATTTGACAACCTTGGTCGCTATGGTTGTGTATCCCGCGATTTTGCCTCAGTAGCAAGGGTATGGAATAGCCATCCATCGGGCTATTTAAAACTAGTTTAAATTTCTGTGATGTACCTGTATATACATATATGTTGTCTGTGTGTGTGTACGTTCTATAGGCTTTTACAAATATTAGGATAAGTTTTAACAAGTAACAAATCTACGTTCAGGATGAAACAAGTAGAAGATATCATTTAATACGAAGATTAAATAATTCAAGTTACTCAATTTGAAAAAGACCAACTTAAGAGTCGAAACGTCATGAAATTACTTTGTTTTATTTTATATATATATATATATATAACCAAAACTAAGAAGAAAATTCTTGGGGATAGCGGTCTAGAGGCAAAAAATTAAACAATTTATTACAAACGCCGAGCTTTCGGAAAATATATTTCCTTTTTCAAGGCTAAAACATATCACAAAAGTCAACTGAATATAATATAATATTATATAAACTTACGTGTAAAAAGTTTAATTATAAAAATAGAAAAATATAATATATTAATCTAAATAATTATTATTAAATAAAATAATTAAATTATTATTATTAAATTATTATTATTATTAATTTTACATTAATAATTTATATACTAAATTAAAAGATATTTTATATATATATATACTTTTATATAAATCTGGTGTTGTTTATAATATTAGTTGTCTTGATTGTAATCTTTCTTATATTGGACAAACTTCTACTGTTCTTAAAGAACGTATTAATAGACATATTAGTGATTTTAGATTATGTAAACGTAGTTGTGCATTATCAGAACATGTGATTGATACACTACATAATATTGATTTTAAAAATGCAAAAATTTTGGATACTGAATTTAATACTAATAAAAGACTTTTTCTTGAAATGGTAGAAATTTACATTAATGATAATTGTATCAATAAAAGAAAAGATATTGAGGATCTTAGTAATATATATTCTTTCTTACTCCATTTTATTAAAAATAAAAATAATATTTAAAATTTGATTTTTTCTTTATTTTTATTTGTAACTTGTGATTAACCTTATATGTTTTTTACGTGTTTTTTTATTAATAATTAAATTTACCTTTCTATGTCAAAATAATTTTTAGTAATGTCAGAAATCATGAATATTTAAGAAGATTTTAACTTTTATACAAAATTTTAGTTCCTTTCTTCCATATAGAAATTGATATATTTTTCTATTTTTATAATTAAACTTTTTACACGTAAGTTTATATAATATTATATTATATTCAGTTGACTTTTGTGATGTTTTAGCCTTGAAAAAGGAAATATATTTTCCGAAAGCTCGGCGTTGTAATAAATTGTTTAATTTTTTGTCTCTAGACCGCTATCCCCAAGAATTTTTCTTCTTAGTTTTGGTTATAATTGATCGGTCAAGACTTCCTCTTTGTATATATATATATATATATATATATATATATATATATATATATATATATATATATATATATATATATATATATATATATATATATATATATATATATATATATATATATATATATATATATATTTTATTAAATCTCTAAAATATTTATTTACACCTGACCTCAAACAAAGAATAAAATCTACTTAAAAAATATTTCATAAGGTCAAAGAATAATTGAAACTAAAAAACTAACTATTTTTTAGGGCATCAAAATATATGTGGCCTTATTTGCGGCCTGAAGAACTGGTGGAGATTGCTATGAACCTATGGGACGAAGAAGAGAACGATCCAATTGATTTTTCAGATGAAAGTGACGAAGAAAGTGAGGTTATCGAGGAAAATCTGTACAATAGTGATTCCGAGCAATCAGTCGATGGAGACGATCCAAATGAGACTAATTGGGAAGAAATAAAAGACGACGACCATCGGTTTTATGTGGGTACGGATAACTCCACTATATGGATAAATAAAACAGGTGCTATACCGTCAAAAACAAGAGAAAAAAAAATAATTTTCGCTGGCCCTGCCCGTCACGCAAGAAATACGCCTACGGAATTAGATGCATTCTCCATTTTTATCACGGATAATATCCTGGACGACATTGTTAGATTCACAAATATATATATAGAAAAGAAAAGATCAATTGCTGAATATCACAGAGAAAGAGACAGTAAATACACTACAAGGGCCGAAATCAAAGCTCTATTTGGCGTTCTTTTTCTGATTTCCGTAAAAAAAGGAACGCATGCTAATGTTTTAGAGCTGTGGAGTACAGACGGTACCGGAATGATGACTTTGAGGGCTGCCTTTAGTTATAAAAGATTCCTATTTTTGATGCGTTCGATTCGTTTCGGAGCAAAAAGAGAAAAATATGATAAACTAGCCGCAATCAGGGATTTTTACACAAATTTTGTAGAAAATTGTCGAAATAACTATTATCCTGGTAAATTTACGACAATCGGTGAAATGCTTCATCCTTTTCGTGGCCGTTGTGGATTTATCCAACATATGCCCCAAAAACCAGCGAAATATGGATTGAAGTTATATGCTCTTTGCGATAGCAATACCTCTTATACATGGAATTTTGAAATGTATTGTGGGAAACAAACAGATGGACCTTATGTTGTTTCAAATAAACCAACAGATATCGTAAAAAGGTTGATTGATCGTTTAAAAAACACCAATAGAAATTTGACGATGGATAATTATTACACTAGTTATCCACTTGCGCAATACCTTCTTGAGAATGGCATTACAATTCTTGGCACAATGAAAAAAAATAAAGTCGAAATTCCAGCGGAGTTTCTTCCTCATAAAGCCCGTAAGGTAGGATCGTCGCTTTTTGGATTTAAAGACAACATAACCATTGTTTCCCACGTACCTAAAAAAAATAAGGCTGTCATTTTATTATCAACAATGCATGATGCCCGAGAGGTCGATCCAGAAACCGGCAAGCCTATTATATTATTAGACTACAATAGAACAAAAGGCGGAGTGGATACGGTTGATCAAAAATGCGCTTCGTACTCGACCCAAAGAATGACAAAAAGATGGTCTCTAGCCCTATTCTTCAGATTTTTGGATATCGCAGGTATAAATGCAGAAGTTATATTTAAGGCTAATAATCCAGAAAAGGGTGAAAAAAGGAAATCTTTTCTTACTAATTTAGCATTTGGTCTTATGGAAGACCACATGAAAGAAAGGGCCAGTATAAAAACGCTTCCTAGAGACTTGCAAGTTTTTCTCACAAAATATGCTCCAGAAGTAACGCCAGCAGCCAGAAACGAGAAACGAGTTGGACCTTGCCATGCTTGTGGAACCCATAAAAATAATAAGACTACAATTTTTTGTAACTTATGCAACAAATTTGTTTGTAAAAGTCACAGCGAAAAATTAGTCAGTTGTATTACTTGTATACATCCACCAATGGAAGAAGACTAAACATTTAGACAGACCGTTGAATTTTAATGGTTCAAAATTGTTTTAATACAAAAAAATTGAATATCTAAAATGTTGTTTCCTTTTGTTCTTTTATATATAATATATTCCGTTTAGTATATTTTTTAAGATGATTAAACAAAAGCAAAACAAAAAGTTTAGATTTTGTAGGACAAAATCTTATCAGGTAAAAATCACATATTGACAAAAAACGAATGTATTTGACTAAAGCTCCGCGCGCACTGAATAGGTATCAGCGAGAGCGAGCAGCGCGAGCTGCACGACCGGTCGGAAAGTCGATTGTAGCCGCGCACGGGAGTCGCACGATCGACGGTCAGTACGTCACCAGCATAAATTTGAGCATAGACGAGGAGAAGTTTATTCAAATTTAGTCAAATTCATTAGGCATTTCAAAAAATTATAAAGTATTATTACTATTTATATTTTTATGCAACTTTTTATATTTTATGCTTTATGATGGAAATTGATGATTATTTAGATCTTAACCAAACACACATTAATATATTTAGATCTTAACAAACCACATAAAATTAGTGAAATAGAGTGGAAGATGGGGATAGAATATACTACATGACTCTTAGCTTGACCGATTTTAACAAATTTGGTATAACTCAAAAGGGTTTAATTTGTTCTTTAAAAACAAAGCTAGATATGAAAAATAGTCAAATAAAACTTTAAATTAAGATTCATCTCATAAATCCATCACAATCTGGCAGCGCTGTCGCTATCGCTTGTCACACAAAGTTGATTACGTGCATCGGAAATGGTTTTGCGATTATCATACATAGTTTCGGAGATTCGCGGTAGCAATAGGTAGTAATAAATGTGTAGGTACATACAACAGTTTTTTTTCATTCATAGTCATAAATCGAAAACTATACAGGGTGGGTCAAATTCGACGCTTTTAAATGGAAACACCCTTTTCTATAGGAGACAGACGAAAACTAATATCGGTGTCTGGAGCTCAATTTTCATCAAAAATATGATGGTGAAAACCGCACATCAATATCTGTTACCGTTTCGGAGTTACGGGGTGTTTTTCAAAATGTGCATTATTTTAACAAATCGCTGTAACTTTTTTGCTATGGAAAATTGCCATTTATTTCATGAAAACATTTCCAAAGCACCTTTTTACGTAGAATTTAATGGTTTAAGTATAATTTTTTTAAAATTAATAATTTAAGAATTATCAACAGAAAAACTGATTTTTTATTTGGGACACCCTCTATATTTTTAATTAACTGAAAAGAATTTAAAATTACCTTTCCAAAAATATAGGACACTTGAGATTTTGTTATAATCCCCTTCGAAATACAGAATTTTTAAAAGTTCGCCAGTTTTAACTAGTAGGCTTTGGACCCCTTATTGATGATATGCCCTTAATTGAACTCGAAAACATATTTTTCCAGCAAGACGACGCACCGCCTCTGAACACTGAAGTTATCAGCAAATTTTGCAGCCAATTTCAAGAATAACTGAATAGCTAACCAAGATCCCAGCCGTTGGCCGTCGAGGCCGCCTGACTTAGTGCTTATGGATCTAATCCTATGGATATATTTGCGGAAGAATAAAGGTTCCTTATTCTTCCGGATAATCTAGACAAGAATTAGAAATACTTAGCAGTTAAGAGAAGGTATCTTTCAACCCTACTGAGTTAATGAATTCCGCTTACAGAGAAATGTTCAAAAACTGCCCCGTCTGTCCATAACAGAAGACGGTCGATATGTCGAACACCTGTAGCAAAATCTCATGTCTTGGTTTGCTATTTATTTTTATTGTTATTAGATATAATTTAAATGTGTTGATGTTGGTTAAATATATTTTAAATTGTTATAAAATTCTGCATCTCTCATAGCAAATATTATTTTCGTTTTAATTGATGCTCACAGCTAGAATTTTTTTGCATTACAGCCGATGTCGTTCAAAGCCTACTTATTTAAAGCAAGCGAATTTTTATATACTCTATATCTCGAAGAGGAATCGAGCAAAATATAAAGCGTGTTATATTTTTGGAAAGGTAATTTTAAATTATTTTCAATAAATTAGAAATATACAGGGTGTCCGATATAAAAAATCAAATTTTCTGTTGATAATTCTTAAATTAATAATTTAAAAAAAAATTCTACTTAAACCATTAAATTCTACGTAAAAAGTTGCTTTGAAAATGTTTTCATAAAAATACAACATTTTCCATAGCAAAAAAGTTACAGCGATTTGTTAAAAATACATATTTTTGAAAAACACCCCGTAACTCCGAAACGGTAACAGATATCAATATGCGGTTTTCACCATCATGTTTTTGACAAAAATTGAGCTCCAGACACCGATATTAGTTTTTGTCTATCTCCTATAGAAAAGGGTGTTTCCATTTAAAAGCGTCGAATTTGACCCACCCTGTACATCGTAAAAATAATTAAAAATCTGTTTAAGCTTGTCTCAATGAAGCCAACATTTCATACGACACCGACACGACATGCGACACGGTTAAATCCATAGACTTAAGTCTACGGTTGCCGTTGTGAGAGACATAGAAAAAATAAAAAATACTAATATAACAAAACTCACATCGGCAGCCATGGATGGAAACACCACATACCAGCCAACCGCTAAATCATAGCCGATAAGCACGCCTGCGTAGGTCAGCGTTTTATCTACTTTTTTCGACTTTCCACGTTGTTAATTACGATAAATAGAAGAGAAAGAATGACTAGTTAAATTTAGTTGCAACAAAAGTAATTTTGCCATTTTTTGTAAAACTCCACAAAAACAATATCACACTTTAAAATTCACATCGAATAAATACACAAGAGTAAATATTTTGAAGGAACACCGGCAACACCGAAGAGAAGACAGAGAGCTAAGCTATCAGAGAGCTGAAAGATATCAGCTCATTCTGTATTTCTTTCGTTTCAATTTCGCTTAGGCTATCTTCATCGTTAAAAAAAATTCAAACTACTAATTCTAACTAAAATACAGGGTGTTTCAAAAAACATGTGCCATCTCTTGTAGGGAGATTCCTCACGTAAAAATAAGATTTATTTTTCATATCAACATACGTCCGATTCTGCTTTGTTTCGTAGCTACAGGGTGTTCAAATCTTAATATTTTTTCGATTTATTATAATTCTCTTTCAAGCACTTTTAGCGTTTCAAATGAAATTTTGAGGGTAAAAGTTACTATAAATGCGACATATTTTAAAGCTAAAAACGTGTCGACATCCAGGGACGTGCATATGTGTTATCACTGGAATATTTTTCTAAAAAAAGCATGTACGCGACTGATTTTTTCTCTTGTTAGCCAGATAGTTTAAGAAGTTTAATGCCGATTAAAAGTTCTCTCTTGATATTTTGTCGATTTCGGCCTCCTTGATGAGATAAACGCAATTTTATTAATTTGCCTTGATCCAAGTCTAATAGCAATCAAGCAAAGTCTGTATATCTCCACTTTAATTTCTAAGTCGTAAAAATAGCATAAGCATAGATATAAAAAAACACTTACCCGTCATAATATAAGCATTCTTGGATAAATACTTAATCAGGTCTTCTAAAGGTTCAAGAATAGATCTGACAACTGCTCTCACTATAGCATTTTTACAAAGGGACAATATAAGAGTTTTTATAATGTTCATCATTGTAATAATCCATGCGCCCATAGCGACGGTTCCCAAATGGAATTTAAAAGAATTGTATATTGATGTTGCAATTGGGCTATGCACATATGACTTTTCCCTTGAAAAACAATAACAATATAGCGTCCTGGACACTTCATCTGCGTGGTCTGTATTTTAATGCATGCGATATAGATAAATATAAATGACCGATTGAAAGACAGAGAAACAAAATAAAAAGCGGTATACAGTGTTGCCGGTTTTTACGTATATATGAAAATGTATGTAGAAATCTATACTAATATACAGGGTGGTCCGAACTGTATTCCGGAAACTTCGGCGGCATATTCTGCAGATAAAAATAAGTAAAAAAGTTCGTATAAATGTATATCCTAAAATGCTTAGTTTCGGAGATACAGGGTGTAGAAGTTTCATTTTTAATTCGATTTTTTCCAAATAATTTCTGAAGTAACGTCAATATTTGGATGAAAATTGGTGTCTGAGATTTTTGTGACATGAGAAATTTGATTTGGATGTCAATATGACTCCTACTAGTAGAGGGCGCCACCTACATATTTTTTAACTGGTTTGAAGAGTAATAACTCTTCGTCCGTACCTGTATAAAACTACTAAATAAAAAAATATACATTTATGACGTTTTCCATGTGAAAAAGGTCTCTTGGTAAAAATCGCTACGAGTAATGGTTTTCGAGATATTTGGAATCTAAATTATCAATACCTGTCATCATTGACATAAATTAAACATGTTGACTAAATAGTTATTAGACTGAAATCATAAATTTTCAACGTTTTTGTGCTAAAAGTTCAACAGAAACTGTTTTATCCTAATGTTTTGCAGAAAAAATTATGATTAATTGAAAAAAATTAAAATTTCCCAAATTTATTATTTCAGTGAAATAACTATCTACTCAACGTGTTCATTTTTCGTCATTAATGACATGTATTGACTATTTCCATTCTAAATATCTTGAGAACGGTTGCTCGTAGCGAGTTTTACAAAGAGATATTTTTCACGTAAAAAGTCACAGAGATGTATATTTTTTCACTCGGTAATTTTATACAGGTGCGGACAAAAAGTTATTAAGCTTCAAAACAGTCAAAACACATGTAGGTGGCGCCCTCTACTAGTAGGAGTCATCTTGATATCAAAATCCAATTTCTCATGTCAAAAAACTTCCAGACACCAATTTTCATCCAAATATTGATGTTACTTCAGAAATTATTTAGAAAAAATCGAAATAAAAATGAAACTTCTACTCCCTGTATATCTCAAACTAAACATTTTAGGACATACATTTATACGAACTTTTTTACTTATTTTTATCTGCAGAATATGCTTCTGAAGTTTCCGGAATACAGTTCGGACCACCCTGTATAAAATCCTCAAGTGACTGACTCACTGATTAATCACGATCCTGCTCAAACCACTCAACATAAGAAGCTCAATTTTGGCATACAGGTTGATTATAGGGTGTAGAGGTTCGATAAGAAGGGATTTTTCGAAATTCCAGTTCCAAGGAGGTGAAACCATCCCTCAACTATTACAATATTTTTTATTTAAAAAACGGTCAAGTTTCCGAAAAACCGCTTAAACACGTATATTTTATTTTGTTTTTTACATATTTTAAGATTTTTTAAAAACGTATACCCTGTATACGTTTTCGAAAAATCTGGTCATTGATTAATCACGATCCTGCTTAAAGCGCTTGACGTAAAATGCTGATTTTTGGAAAACGGATTGACTTTAGGGTGGAGAGGTTCGCAAAGAAGTGATTTTTCGAAACTCGAATTCTAAGGGGGTGAAACCACCCCTCAAATATTAGAATATTTTTTTTATTTAAAAACCGGTGAGTTTTTCGGAAAAACTCTTAAACACGTATATTTTGTTTTGTTGTTTTACATATTTTAAGATTTTTAAAAATTTATACAGGATGTTTCATAAAATATGACCAATGAGTAATCACGATTCTGCTTAAACTGCTTGACGTTTAAAGCTGATTTTTGGCAAACGGATTGACTGTAGGGTCTAGAGGTTCGATAAGGAGGGGTTTCTCGATTGTTTTTTCTCATACTGACATAAATGTGAGAAAATTTTATCCAGTTTGTATGTTAATGGAAATTCTTGCTTTGCTTTATCATCACCATTACAAATGATTAATTCGACGCGAACGAAGTTGCGGGTACACGCTAGTATATACATATACTAGTTGAACCTGGCGCATCCGCCACGACATCGGGAAAAAAAATACTTTTTATTTTTTTTTAATTAAATGAAAAACAAAAAATCCGGCGAAGACAGTTTTTAGAAGAGCCAATTAGCTATCTTTTAGTAAAAATAGCAACTTTCTAGAGCAAGTCGTTACGTCAGTAGAGACGACACAGATAAACATCAGAATTTTATATTTTATAATATATGTAGATACTATTGAAATGAAGATAATATATCTAAGCTAAAATATAGTCTATTATAACTGTAGTAAATGGGTAACTAATTGTGAAAAATCAAGTTCCAACCCTAGATGCAACATTTTTCGTAAACCCCTACTTGTGCGGTTTGTACTCTTACACGTTAAAATCCAGACCACGCAGTAATAACTACATATTAATGTATCCAATTCCTACCTTGTAAAGTACCACTTTGCAATTCCTCCAGCAATAGTCATATACTGTATTCCAATAAAGAATTGAGTAAGCCATATATAAATAACGAAATTATAGGTTAACGTAAAAATTGCGATACTAGATGGTCTAAAGTAATAATAATTTTGTCCATTATTTAAGGGCACCAACTCTCCAGCTGACCAAACGTATAATGTAACTACCACAAAAATGGCTGTCAAAAGAGCAAGGGTAAAAAACAGCTACAAAAATAAATATTAGCAAGCAAATAAGATATGGACAAAATACTTACAAAAACAGGAATCAGAACTAGCTGAGGCATATCAAATACTGCTTTAGTGGCTTCTTGGAGCAGTAGTATAACTAAGCCGATTCTTTTCCTAAACCATATAAATACTATACCCAAAATGATTGTGGCAACCGTAAATACAATGGCAGCATATCTAAAGTTATATTGTTGTTGTTCATTTTGTGCAGATGCAGACAAAACCCTAGAAAAAAAAAACAATCTCTGACGGTTTAAGTGCAAAAATTTACAAATGTAATAGCGACTTTATAGGCTGGGTGCATTTCAGTTGATTTCAACAAATTCCAACCGCAGCGCTCCAACGGCAAAAATCAGAAATTATCAGTGCGTGTTGATCGCATCAAAAGAATATTAAAATTGTGGTTTTGTCATTTCATAATATTTACTAAAAACACGATCTTAAAAACACTCAGGTACGAGGATGTGCGACGTAATGCTCTTTTGAGTAGTAAAAAATAAGTGAAAAGTAGTAAAAAAGAAGTTTAAAGAATTCGCACTAGGCGTCGTGTTATGCCCCTCTAGAAAAACCCGTGATTAAAATTATGCTCGCTACCGTAGTTGAACTCATCTAAAAAGTTTTTTTTAACTGGAATAAATAAATAAATAAATAAATGCCTTTATTGTCAAAAATATTTTCAATTTGTAGACAAAGGTAAACTAACAAACAAAGTAGAAAAAAAAACAAGGTACACAAACAAACAAACAAAAGATAATACAAAACATTATATAAATAATATTGTCAGTCTTATCGTTAAAATAAACATTTATAAATGTTTACAATGTCAAAGAACAAAAAATTTAAAATAATATTCAAAAATATTTAGCCAGTTTATAGCAAAATATCAATGACCTCTAAATAAATTAATTTCGATGTCATTAGTAAATATAGCAATAGCAAACATTAGACCAGTGTTTTCAAGATCAAATTCGATTTTCAATTCAAATATAATTCATTTACGGCGTAGAAAGCCTTGTCTAGTAAATAAAAGTTCAATGCTTTGCGAAATGAAAAAAATGATGTTATGGATTTGATTTCAAGTGGCAGGTGATTGTGCATTTTTTTCGAGTTGTATAATATTGAACTTTTAACCTTGCTCCGCGTTCCTGAGTGGATAAGTGTGAGATGGCCTTTCTTGAGAAGCTGATACATGTTTACGCATTAGGCAAACGGATTCAAATATAAATAAGGAAGGAAGAGTCAATATTCTTAATTCTTTAAAAAAGTCCCGGCAATGAGTTCTGCTGTTTAGTCCTAGTGAATATCGAACAGCTCTCTTCTGGAGCTTGAAAATGCGGTCAAATTGAGTCGCACAACACGTACCCCAGAACGGAAGGGCATACCTGAGGTGCGACTCAAAAAGTGCATAATAAACAGTTCTAGTCACTGACAAGTTAAGCTCCTTAGAAACAGACCTTAATGCAAAACAGGCAGAGCTCAATTTTTTCGACAAAGCTTCGATATGTATGTCCCATTTCAGAGAATTGTCCACAACAAGCCCTAAAAATTTTACAGATTTTACGACGTCAATGGTGGTGTTGTTAAGTACAAAAGGCTGCAACGAGTATTTATACGACAAAGCTTTAGTGTTAGAAATGTTGAGACTCAGGAGGTTCGAATCGCACCAAGATTTAATGGTGATTAAGTCATTTGATATAATCCTATGAAGTGCCGTGATGTCCTTGTTGCTCCAAGTGAAGCTAGTGTCGTCCGCAAAAAGACATATTTTGCCACTGATGTTTATGTTAGCAATGTCGTTAATAAAAAGAAGAAACAAAACAGGGCCTAGTACTGAGCCTTGTGGTACTCCACATTCTATTGGCTTTCTAGAAGACAACGTGGTATCCACCCTCACAAGTTGACTTCTGTTGCTCAGATACGACTTAAACTATCCGAGAGATGATCCCCTGAACCCATAGTGCTGCAGTTTATTAATTAAGATCTTATGATTAACAATCGAACGCCTTAGAAAAATCACAGAAAATTGTTGCTGTAGAATGATGGTTGTTTAGGCTGGAGTAAACTTTATTAAGGAGGGAAAACATAGCGTCATTTGTGGACTTGTTGCTTAGAAATCCAAATTGATATTCAGTAAGTATTTCGTACTTAAACAGAAAAGATACCAGCCTTCTTTTAACCAACCTTTCTATGATCTTAGATAGCGTTGGAAGGAGTGCAATTGGGCGATAGTTAGAAGCTTCATCTTTGTCTCCTCCTTTGTGCAGAGGAATGATTATTGCCGTCTTAAGACATTTTGGAAAAACACCATTTTGGAACGACATGTTTATTAAAGTTGTTAGGTGATTCAGAGTGCTTTCTGGCAGATTCGAAAACATTTTTAAAGTTAGCCCGTCGGTCCCAGAAGAGGATTTATTTTTGATGGTATTAATTGTACTGCGAAGCTCTTCAAGAACTACGGGCGAAAAAAAGAAACTGTGTAAGTTTACATTATCATTACAGAGATAAGAAAGTGGATCATGAGGAGGACATATGGTATTAGTTAAGTTTTTCGCTACATTTACAAAGTAATCGTTAAGGTTCTCAGGCGAGGTAGAGATATTGCTAGACGAAGAAAGCTTTGTTTCTCAACTCATTCACAATAGACCATGTTTCCTTAGCAACATTACCAGAATTGACTATTCTCCTATTATAATAAAGGTCCTTAGCGGCTCTTATAGTCTTATGATAAATTTTTCTGTATAGTTTTACGTAATTGTGGAAGAAGAGACTGTCTGCGAATTTTTTTAAATGAGATAATGATAATAAATTATAATACAAATTAGACGTTCTGAAGATATCAAAATATTTGCTTTTTTATTTTTAGAATTTTCACAAATTATACTTCCTAACACTTTTAGAATGATTAAATAATAAATTTTTCGTATTCTCGCTATTTAAACCCGTGTATTTGTAAGTACCGTATGATCGAAAAAAAAACGGCGTTCAGTTGGCTGGGAAATGACATTTTCCATATAAATTGACAGCGATCTTCATTTCATAGCCATCGCTGACGCCGTTTTTTCTCGATCATACAGTACTAGTTGTTTACGATATTCTCCGATGGTGGCAGCACCGGCGGAGAATGCACCAAGCCTATACAGCACACCGTTTAGGTCATCCCGCACGATATAGTGCAGTACGATCGAAATAAACAGCAGCAAGTTATATTAGAAATGACAACCTATACCGGGTGCGTCTCAAAAGTGCCTCACCCCTATATAACTTTTTTATTTTTTCAGATAAAAAAACAGATTTGGTATGTTAGTATATTACATAAATTAAGATTGATTGAAGTATTCAATTGTTTTTTTTTTGTCACTTCCTGTTTCACCGGAAATGACTACAACTTTTGATTTTTAAATGGCACCCTTGGTATTTTTTTTACTTTAGTCGATATAAAATGACATTCTGAATAGAATGATATATCACATGTCAACTTTTGACATTTTTGCTTAATAAAAAATTTTATTTTAATTTTCAATCTAGAGTGCCATGGCTATGTTAAAAACACTAATTCTTAATCAAAAAGCCTTGGAAAAATAGATTTGATCGTCTAATGTTTTTAGTTTCTTGTCCTAGCCGGTTAAAAGATGCTCAAATCGTATTTTTAAACATATCTCAATTTTTTTCAAATGGAACGAGGGTGGCTCATTAGCATATTTGGAAAAAGCATTTTTTTACGAATAATTTGATACCACACACTTGGCATTTCGAGTCAAATTTTCGTTACAAACCGCAAGTTATAATTTCAAATAAACCATATGCGAAAATGTCAAAAGTTGACATATGATATGTCATTCTATTCTGAGTGCTATTTTTTATCTAATAAAGTAAAAAAATACCAAGGGTACCATTAAAAAATCAAAATTTGTAGTCATTTCCGGTGAAACAGGAAGTGACCGAAAACAATTGAATACGTCAATCAATCCTAATTTATATATATATACTAACATACCAAATCTCGTGACTCTCTCCATTTGACACCCGGTATAAGGGTGTCAAAAAAATAGTATATCTAACTTTGATGGGTGACAAAAAGTTCCTATAAATATATCGTCGCCTTCCACACAATCTGTCGGAACATTTTATGTTCTATATATCATCTGACATTTTGAACATTTTACAGTAGAGCGAAAAAAAGTGTCTTTTAGTGCAATCAGTCCCTACAGTGTCGTAACTGTAACAGGAACGGCTCCTATACTGTAGGAGACAAAATAAATGGAATATCTAACAAAAGTTAATCTTTAGATCACACTAAAAGACGTTTTTTTCGCCCTACTGCTAAATTTTCAAAATGTCAGTTGCGACACTTTATTTGGATTTTTATAGGCCCTAAAATGCTTTCCCTAAAGATGTTACAGCTTACACCGCTCGAAAGGGTAACTAAAAATAATATATTTTGTTTATTTTTAACAACATTGGTAAACCGTTTTTCTTGAAATTGGGTACTCTACACACACTTTAATACCAAAGCGAATGGCGATAGTGTCAAATTCCGTAATAGCCCTGTAAGGGTACTTTCCATTGCTCTCCAGATGCTCTTCGTTTAGTTCGAAACGGTGAACGGTTTTCAAGATATTTGCGTTTCAAGGTTACGAAACATCGATTTTAGTATTAGTAAAATCCGGATATTTACCATTTCACTAATGCTAAAGCCGGTCCCAGACACTACGTGCATTTGGCGAATGTGTGAACATTCGAATTATATACTGCGGCTTCGGTCACCTTCCCACACGCTACGTTATTTGTAAAAATGCGTCCAATGACAAATATTTCCAGTAGTAGGCGTTTTCCCGAAAGAATAACCGTTTTTTAAATAACAAATATTGTAATATTTGAGGGGCGTTTTCACCCTGTTGGAATTTGAGATTCGAGAAACCCCTCCTTATCGAACCTAAACCCCACAGTCAATCCGTTTGCAAAAAATCAGCTTTTTACGTCAAGGGCTTTAAGCAGGATCGTGATTAATCAATGACCAGATTTTTCAAAACACCCTGTATACATTTTTAAAAAATCTTAAAATATTATTCTGAAAAATTTTCAGAATAAATAAATACCTAAATATTGAAACTTAATAAGTAAGTACTGAAACATACAACGCCATAATATCTCGACCTCCGTCCGTTATGCTCGTAACAGGTTGAAACAGAATGTATCTAAAACAGCTGATGCGTTATTCCCCAACCTGTTTCAAACCTCCATCGACAATCGACCGATGCAGCAGCGTTCCTTTCCCACTCCGATTATCTTGACCGCCGCCCTGTTATGCTCGTAACAGGTTGAAAAACAACATATCTAAAATGACTGCTTCTCCAACCCGTTGCGAGCCTCCATCGACAATCGACCGATGCAGCAGCGTTCCTTTCCCACTCCTGTTATCTCGACCGCCAGGCGTTATGCCCGCAACTGTTTCAAAAAACCTGCTTCTTTTATATCCTATTATTTTTAAGCTGTTGCAAACCCAATACGACCATCGACGGTTTCGACCGAAGCAGCTACGTTCGCCGTAGCGCTTTCCCCACTCCGTTGTCAGTTGTCTCGCCGCCTGTATCGATGGTTGACAACATGTTTTCCATACAAACTAGTTGTTTTTTGGAATTGCTTCGAGCAGCATAGAATTTCGTGGTGGTGCAGAGCGCCGACTTCGTTCTTCGTTTAACGAGCGGCCGATCTCTACGTGTCTTTATTTTTTAGAAGTAGTACCGGTTGCGTTATGTTATTTATAAATAATTGTTATAAAATAACAGATAGTTAAATAACAATCCATCACTAAAACAAATAGCCGTAGCGTCTGTAGCCGGTCCCAGACACTACGTGCATTTGGCGAATGTGTGAACATTCGAATTATGTACTGCGGCTTCGGCCACCTTCCCACACGCTACGTTATTTGTAAAAATGCGTCCAATAACAAATAATATTTCCCGTAGTAGAGCAACGCGTATAAACAATATAAGAGCGCGCCGCTAAAACAAAAAAACACCTAAGCAAATAGCCGTGGCGTCTGGGAGTAATTCCGAAGTTGACTACGCCGCACAACGAGCTCCTTTGATTCGTGCCAGTTTACCGACAACCGCCGGGAAAATGACGAAGTACGAATGTTCGTAGAAAGTAACCTCCCACACGCTACGCGAATAAGCTCGAATACCGAATATTCGCCGAATGCACGTAGTGTCTGGGACCGGCTTAAAATAGATGCATCTTAACCTTTAAACGCAAATATCTTGAAAATCGTTCACCATTTCGAACTAAACGAAAGGCACCTTTTTACGTAAAACAGTCCTAGCTTTTTGCCACTTTTGTTGAAATTACTATATCTATAAGGATAAAAGAAGTACCACAAGTAGTACTGTTTACCCTAATGGAAAGTACCCTTTCAGTGCTGTTACGGACTTTTACACTATCGCCATTCGCTTTGGCATTAAAATGTGTGTAAGAGTAAGAGCAACAAATTTCAAGAAAACCATTTTACCAATTTTAACCTTTCAAGGGTTGTAACTTCTACGGGAAGCATTTTATGGCATATGTTCATAGGAACTTTTTGTTTTATTTTTATCTGTAGAATCACACACCGAAGTTAGATAATATACACTATTTTTTTGACATCCTGCATATCTAAAATATTAATATGTAAAGTTATATGATAAATGTGATCGATATCATTTCTAAGGTAAAATTGCCACCGGTTTATTTTTGGATGATATGGTATTATTGTCACAAAACTCAACATATTTCAAAAATAAATAAACAACTTACCAAAACGCTACTGAAGCTATGATAAAAGCTGAATAGCATATTATTATGATTGACCATACTAAACAGGCTGTGGCATGACGGAATAAAAATAACATGCCCATGGACACCACTGAAACATACAATAAAAGTTGTTTAAATCGGAAATACCTATTACAATATGTATTAATTGTGCCTGTCAATTTCATTGAGGGCTAAGGGATAAATAATATAAGAGTATTACACAGAGTGGTCCGAATTGTATTCGGGAAACTTCGCATATGCATATTCTGTAGATGAAAATAAGTAAAAGAAGTTCGTATAACTTTATATTCTAAAATGCTTCGTTTAGGAAATACAGGGTGTAGTATTTTTACTTCTTTTATCTGAATCATTTTTGAACTATAGTCGATATTTGGATGAAAATTAGTGTCTGGATGTTTTTTGACATAAGATATTTGATTTCGATGTTAATATGGCTCTTACTTGTAGGGAGGGCCACCTACATGTTTTTTAACTGTTTCGAATAGTACTATCTCTTCGTCCGTACCTGTATAAAACTACTGAGTGGAAAAATATAAATGTCCGTCATCCTTTATCGTATTAACGCATAATGAGTATGTGGCTTAAAAAGCATATAGCTTTTTTATGGTAATGCCAATCGAAAATTTTATATCTAACGTGACCTAGAACGCAACGAATGAACGAAGACAAGTATCGTCCATAAAATATCTAGCCTTCGACGCTGGCGACCCAAAAACTGAAATTTTGGCGAAGATCGAACAGGCCAAACGTACTTTTGCTTCCAAGAAAACCTCTTCTCCAGCCGAGATCTAAGCCTCGAACTGCGCATACGTATGCTGCGTTGCTACATCTTTCCAGTATTCCTCTACGGCTCTGAGAGTTGAAAGCTCAATCAGACATTAGAAAATCGCATTAACGCTTTTGAGATGTACTTGTATCGTCGTACGCTCCGTATTATCGCCTATCCCTGCAACGTGTTGGAGTTGAAGCCCAGTTAGAGACAACTAGATAACCGGTCCATGTTTATTTCACGTAAGTTCGTCTGTTAGGCCGACACTGGCGCAACAGCGCAACTCCAAAATTCCGAATATCGATTAGCCCTTGTAGAATGTAGAATGAGTAAGAGGGGGGTTAATCACTGCGACTTTAAAGATCTATTGTACCCCCCTTCCTTGAGTCATCGCACAATCTATAACCCATCATACCCCTGTTGTAGAGAAGACAGGGAATTTCCCATCCTCCTTTGACAACAGTTCTTCCTCCGAAGTTACACACCCTCCCACGGTTGGAGTTTGGCCCTCCGTGCCGCCCTTCACAGTCGAGGAGCTTGCCTCCGGCTGAGGAACCCGTGAGGTGGAGGATCTGTCTCCACCATTTTCTCCACCTCTTTAACTTGGTCTCTCCTTAGACCTGATACCGGTGTTGTCCCGTATCTGTAATAGAGGATATGTCCCTCTTTCTCTATTGCCTCCTTGGATTTGAGATCAATTCCTATTGTGAGGATCGATTAGCCCTTACTCTGAGGATTAGCCAATTGTCGAACGGGAGCGCAAACGAAAGCCGTAAGAAGTTGGACGGAGCCGTACGAATGAACAGCTGGTGCTAGCGTCTAGTCTCTTATTGGTTTAGTGGGTCTAGTTATCCGATCAATAATTCAAAATCCAGGCCTGCGCACTACGCTTGAGCAAAGCTAACTGAGCGACTTATACAAGTTCCTTCAGAAGATTTATATACCCACTTCACCGGCTTGGCTTCACAGAATGCAGTTTGGAGTCAATATGGTTACTTTATAAATATATGTGCGTGTATCCTCTATGCGTATTTCCATAATATACCATGTAGAGAGTAGTGATGGGAATACCGGCTCCACGTGAGTCGCGTTAAAATAGCCACCGTTCCAGAAAAATACCGCGAGAAAATACCGCGATTTTGTAACCGAGGTTCCGACTTCCAAAGTGTTGCGGTCCTCGCTAAAAATATATCTAACTTATCCATATTTGTAGATTAAGCAGAAAGTAGTCTCGACTGTCTAGCGAGAAAGAAAATCTAGGATAAAACCAAACCCCACTAGTTCCTAGATTTTGTAGATTAATGTAACTTTTATCCGCCACTCATTTTCCAAATATCGAGTTTATAATTGTGTATAGCCAATCTATCTCATGTTTAGAAAAACGATGACATTCCTTGTTATTTTTTTACTTTTATCAATTTTCGTTTAAATAAAAGGACGGGTCATATTTATGTGTATTGCAATATAATATATTTAATGTTAAAATCAAGAACAAAGTCCAAACCACTGTCAAAAAAAATTGAATTGTTTATTGGTCTAACCTAACCGTAAAAATAGATATAAACAATAAAACTTATGTAAATGTATAAAAGCAAATAAAATATTTTTATGTTATTTTATTTGCCTTTGCGTTTCATCTTTCAAACAACACTATTTTATACCATGCCTTGTAGATACCAAAAATCGCTATTTCGACAGTAACGTAGCGACGGGAGCATCAACGCCAATAGTAACCGACCACTCATTTTCCAAATATATGTAAATGTATATTTGACCGACGAAATCGCGACAGGCAAAACCGAAACCCTAGAAGCGCTCCAGCGACTGCTGGAACGAAGTACGTGGCCGCCGAGGTCGAGGGTCGATAATCAGTTACAGCAGTTACTTCTGTTCGCGACAGGGAACTAAAACTCTAGGAGCGCGACGCCTGGAGCGAAGTAGGTCGCCGCCGAGGTCGAGCGTCGATGCCCAGTTACAGTAGTTAGTTCTGTTCGCGACAGGGAACTACAACTCTAGGAGCGCGACGGCTGGAGCGAAGACGTCCCGATCGAGATCGCGCCGCGCTATGGACATACCAGTTCCAGATACTACTCTTGGCGACCGACGAAATTGCGACGGCTGGAGCTAAACACGTCGCTATGTGGTTACTACGGTTCGGGCTAACTTCAAGTGCGATTATAAATAATTTATTTGCAAATTATAAATAATTTATAATTTTGTCGTCATTATGATCGTCGTTCTTAAGTAACAGGTTCCTGATTCGTTGTGGAGGGCGACACGACGTTACAAAAAAATACCGCTCCAAAATCGCGTTACTCAAATACCGACACATCACTAGTAGAGAGCATAAGGTTTCTAAGCCCCGCTCCCAAGCTTATTTCAGCACTGAAGATGTCTCTAACGAGGTATAGAATGGAATAGGAGAATGCGCTAAATGCGGTATAGTATGGTGTCGGCTTCTCAGCGTTACAACATGATATAAGCCACATGTGAGCATTCTTAGGCTAGGCGCAAATTGAGTCGCATGTATCGCATGATCTGGAGGTCCTCAAATTAGGACGCAGTTTTTCAGTGACAACCTAACCTAACCAACCAACTTTAGTTCAGAAGAAGAATCAGACGATGCCGAAGTAGAAATTTTACTATATTCAATAATAAAAAAACAAGCACGCGAACGCGAGGCACACGACGCGCGCAAGACTGTGTCTGAACTACAGAGACGGGCCCTGGTCAGGTTACGGGGGCCGCGCCACGCTGCACTGTGTAGCCAATTTGCGCTGTCCCATTTATTTCTGTTGTTTACAAAAATTCGCGTCGTGCCAGGTCATGTCACACGCGATAGACGCGACTCGATTTGCGCTTAGCCTTAGTCACTTCTTGCATTTTGCAATAAATTGCGAATTGTAAATAAGCATCAGAACGGTTGAGTAATGTACGAGAGATTAAGTTAAAAAAAATATAAAACCTGAACTAAAATGTTCGATATGAATAGTGACTGACTTCACAAGAGTCAACAGCTGGCTATTGACCAAACAACAGTGCTGTAAGTAACTAAAGCTACATTTGTCGGGCCTCAAGAATTTAGGGAAGACAGTTTTGAAGCCCGTTGTTGAAAAAACAAATATGGAAAATATACTAGGTTTTTTACCAGGTTCTTTCTAGGTTCAGAAAACTTTAACATAAAAATATAAAAGTAATCAGGATGCTAGAAATATTGACACGGTTTAATAAAAGGTGAATTATATTGACACAGAGCAGCAGTTTAAAAACATGTCTTACAAATACTACAATAAACTGTAAAAAAGTATATTAAAGTACAACCAAGAGCTTTATTTACAAAAAAAGAAATACTGAACACCATCAAGGAAAGAAAATGCAATACCTGGGTCATGCGATAGATACTATATATGTCTCATAATAGAGGGCAAAGTGCCCAAGGGAAAAGATCATTTTGATCTTTATTAATGATTTACCGGAGGTATGTGGAGATAGAAGTATTGTAATGTTTGCTGATGACGCCAGTTATATGGTTTCGGAGGAAAATATTGATTGAGCAGTTTCAATGACACAACATATGCTTACTAAATTTATAATTGGTTTTACACTAACAAACTGTTCTTTAAACGCACAAAAACTAGCTTTGTTATATTTACACCCTCTACTGTACCATAAATGAATCACATTTAATTAAAAGTAAACGGTAAAATCGATAAACAAGAACAGCATGTTAAATTTTTGGGTGTATACTTGGACAATAAGCTTTCTTGGGATGTTCACATAAATGAACTATGTAGAAAAATAACATCAGTTTCTTATGCTATATATAGATTAAAACAGGTGGCAGTCATGGAAGTTATTAGTTCATATTATTATGCCCAATTCTATAGCCGTGTAAAATATGGAATAGTTTTTGGGCAATTCATCGCACATACTGCGAGTGTTTAGGGTTCAGAAGCGGATAATAAGGACAATTGCTGGTGTGAGTAGAGCATCTACCTGTCGATCCTTTTTTAAAAAATTTCGTGTGTTGACTGTGCCGTCTTTATATATCTTTGAAGTATTGATGTTTGTCAGGAATAATTTTGCAAAATTTTCTCAGAATAAGCAGTTTCATGATTATTCAACTCGACGCCGCACAGTGTGAAATTTACGGGTTGTAGCTGGAAAAAAATATTTCAGCGACTCTTTTAATGAAATATTAGTCTTTTTCGTTTTTATATAAGAAATTTTATCAAGGCAAGGTAGACCATGCACCAAAATAATCGTAGTAGGGCATATACAGGGTCTCTCATAATGTTTGGTACATATATGGGAAACTTTTTACTATATTATCAGTGATTCATAAAATGTTATTTTTAATAAAAAAATTTGTTGATTAGAGAATAGTTCTGAGGTTAGTAACTACGGAGTTTAATATACGGAGTGTCTAAAATTTACAAAATGTGGCGTTGCCGAACCAAAAATACATAATCTATAAGAAAGGCAAATAAGAAAGTACTATATACAAACAAAATACACTATAAAATGTTTGTGGGTCAAACCGATTTGGAAAAACTATCTAAATCGGAGAAAATCATACAATCAAAGAAAATAAAATAATCAATTGTTGGTTTCTCGACGAACCTTACCGCACAAAGAGACTCTATTTGAGGTTTTTCTTTCATTTTTTACTCTTGCTAATACAGATAATCGAAATTCTCCTCTTAACCAATCAGAATTTTTAGATAAGAAGATATGTTTATGCTTATTTGCCTTTTTCCGTTTGATCTCGATTTTCTGACAAAACGTCCTGGCCGCAACTCTTATATTTTCTTTGACAGCTCTTGAAAGATTACTAGAATCAAAGCGTTCCAATATAAAATTCACCACAGCGCTTCGCCGCTTCTTTGGAGTGTTAGAAGTACAAACCTCATATACATCCTGACGAGTGAAGCGCGCAGCCATCTTAAAAAATATATATGTATAGCTAAAGCGCACCTAAACGCAGCTAATTTTTTATGTCGTATGCTATAAAAAGTGGCCTTTCAAGAAATGACAAAGTTATCGTGGTATTATGTGGTATTATGTAACAAAAACATATTTAAAGTAGCTAAATTACAATTTTTCATAGGTAACTGTAGGTACTTCTTTAACATTTCTTTTCAGTCAAACTATATAGCAGAAATATTTTTAAAAAATGATAGTTTACTACGTAGGCCTAATATAAAAATAATATCAATGTAGTCATTCCGTGAAAGTAAACACTTCTCACTAAAACGCCTGCAAAATTTGACTAAACGGGCTAGATATTTTAGATGATTTTATCGTTTTGTCCGAAAGATAAAGTAATGAGCATTTTTAAATAATAAGCTTGATTTTAAAAATAAACATATGTTTTTTTATTGATGAATGGACATTCCTTGAATAAATTTTACAATAACTTAGGACCTGGGATAAAGTTGGCAAATCGAATTAATTCCACCTAGAACGTCAAAATTTCACACTGTGCGCCGCAGTGACTTGATATATCCAATACATTCTTTAACAGCAGTGGAAAGTAATGTGTATTACGTTGGTGTGAAATTGTACAATGGCTTACCTCTTACAATTAGGGAAATATCTGAGCCACAGTTATTTAAAAGCAAGTTGTGGAATTTTTTGGTTGACAGAGTTTTCTATAGTCTGGAGGAATACCACGCTTACAGCGGAGAACTTTAGCGTGTTTTTTTTTTCTTTTTTTTTCCATATATGTGTATTTTTAATATAAATATTGTCGTGAAAAATTTAGTAAGTATTAGATATTATATGTAATGTTTTTGTAGACTTGATCTATACATGTAAAACATGTCTTAAGGATTTAATAAATTATAAATTATCAGTAGGAAGACGCCAGAACTCATGGCTAAAAGATTTAAGGAGATTGTTTGAACGCTCGTCTGCGGAAATCTTCCGGGTTGCAGTTTCCAGAGCCACAATTGCCATTTGGATCACCAAGCTTCGGCAAGAGAGGGCGTGATAAGAAGAGCTTTATCCAGAACTTATGGATCGCGCTCGCAAAAAGAAGCGAACAGACTAAAAACGAAAAAAATGGTGCTACAAAGGACATTTTAATGCTTTAATCTAAACATTGCACTATAACAGTATTATTTTTCTTTAAGTGTCAAAAGTCATAAATAAATGTTATTGTTGATATTTCGTTTGTTTTATATTTGTAGTCATTTGTAGATATAGATATTATATTATCTTTGATACTCTTTTACATAAATGAATATTACTGGTTTATGCTTTGAATAAGAAGACTAAGGAAGGAGCATATCAAAAATCTTAGGTACACCGCGATGGGCCTCAAATATGGCCGACTTAAATTCCGGTTTATCAGTGTCGTTCTAATTTTATTTAAAAAATGTAAAACTATGATGTAGGGTAAACGTGGGGTAGACTCAATAATTTGTTGTTTTATTTTACGTTGTGAATAAATGTTGGTAGTTATTAAAATTGTTATAAAAATATATAATTCTAATAAAAATAGATAAGTTATAATAAGTATTTAACACAAACATCCGATACGCTACTGAAGCAGGTAAGTCAAATTAACGTGATCTAAATTCTTTTGACATCTAATCTTTGACAAGTAATAAATAAAAGCTAAAATGCAAGAAAAATATATAATTTAGTTAATTTAAGTGAATTTCATAAATGATCGGTTTACTACACGTATGTATATTATATAGTCACTTACTAGCGAAAAGTTGTTCCATTATTTCACTCAATTTTTGCCGAGATCTACCGCACGCTACACAACCAACTATTTTAGAGTCTTTTTTGATCAATCGCGATAGTGTCACTGTTAATTTAAGTTCTGCCACAATTTCCATTTGCTTTTATGGTGCTTTTTCCGCCCACCATGCATGAATACATGGATAGCATTATGCTCCTTCCTTAGTCTTCTTATTCAAAGGGTTTATGCTATAAAATCTTACGCTAGTAATGCGACTACGAACTATACCAAATATACCGTGAGAGACATCTTCACTGCTGAACTAAGACTGGGGGTGGGCGGGACTTTGGGACCTTATGCTCCCTACATGGTATATTATCGAAATACGCAAATGAGGTGTTCAGGTGGATGGGCAAAGATAAAGAGTTATCAGCCCCTATCAACAGTTAAGAAAAGGAAGTTAGATTAGCCACATCATGAGGGGTGAACTATACGAGGTACTCCTAGTCATATCAGTGAGGAGATCAGTGGGAAAAAGGCAAAACTCCTGGCTTAAGGATCTGCGTCGTTGGTTCGGAAGAACATCTACTGAAACTTTTAGAGGTGCAGTTTCACGCACTAGAATTTTAGAATTTAGAATGAGTGGGAGGGGGGTTAATCACTTCGACCTTACAGATCCATTGTGTCCCCCTTTCTTGAATCATAACTCATCATACAGTCACAGGGCTTTGACAAAAGCCAGTATCTGGGACGGTTTTATAGAGGGTAGTTCTCCATCTCCAATATCAGTCGTACCAAAATTCATGGCACGAATGGTTGTCGTCTCGGCGCACTCAGTGATGAGGTGTGTACTGGTGTTTCACCATCTTCCCCACAGAATCTGCATTCGCCGTTTCTTCTTAGTTTCAATCTAATGAGGTGTTCATTGAGGAGACAGTGTCCTGTTAAAACCCCGTGACAATCCGAAGATTGTTCTTACTCAGACCCAGGAAGATCTGTGATTTTTCTTGATCATAAGCCCTCAGAAACTTCTTCGAGTGTCCTAGACCATTGCAAGATTTCCATTCCAGGTTGCGGATGGAATCTTCCAAGTTCTTGAGTTCCGCCTTGAGTTGGTTACCACTTGGAAAGCAGAACGGTTCTGGTCCAGTTAGTGGAGTGTTCGCTCCTTTCCTAGCTAGATTATTTGCTTTTTCATTGCCTTCTATCCCTTGGTGAGCAGGCACCCAGTGTAGGAGGACTTTGTTTTCTTTGCCTAATTTATTCAGCTTCTATGCATTCTTTGACCAATTTCGAATTGATTGATACTGAGTTGATCGCCTTTAACGCTGCTTGACTATCAGATAAGATGGCTATTTCTTGCTTCCGATAGTTCCTATCTAAGATAAGTTGTACGCATCACTCTTTGATAGTGTAGATTTCTGCCTGTAGGGATACTAGGTAAGTGCCCATTGGTTCGGAGTACTAGCTCGGCCCAAACACTCCGATCCCTGTCTCGGTATTGGTTTTGAAGCATCAGTATACAAGTTATGGTATGGTCTTTAACTGCTGGGCAAGCGTTTCGCTCTTCCAATCCTTCTTATTGCTCAATACATTGACATGTTTGTCAAAGTTGTACGTTCTTGGCATATCGTCCACTGGGAGTTGCAGAAGTGGTATTTCCTTTTTGAGGGTGTTCCAAGCCCAGATCTAACAATTCTCCCAGTACTAATTCCGTTAGTGACCATTCTAATCATTGTCGCATTGGCATATCTACCAATGACAATGTGCAGTGGTGTTAGATCTAGAATGACCTCCATTGCTGCTGTTGGACAGGTTCTCATGGCTCCTGTGATGCAAACACATGCTAGTCTCTGGACTTTGCATAGGTTTAGCCTTGCCGTCCGTTGCTCTAGTTTTGTGTACCAGGCAACTGCTCCATAAGTAATCATGGGTCTTACTATCATGGTATACATCCAGCGCAAAATGTTAGGGGAGCAGCCCCATCTATTTCCGGGTTATTCCAGGGTTATTCCCAGGTATTTGACTTCCTGTGTTGGCAGTATTTCCTTTCCATCTAGTTGGATTCTTTTCAAGTTTTTCAGACTTCGCCTTCTGGTGAATGGCACTATCGCGGTTTTGTCTGAGTTGATACTCAGCCCGACAGTCCTACACCATCTCTCAGTGATACGGAGTCCTCTTTGGATAATATCACACAAGGTGCCTTCATGTTTCCCCCGAGCGATCATGACTATGTCATCTGCATACCCAATGCAGTGTATTCCCGCTAGAGTTAATTCATCTAGTAGTTCATCCACCACCAAGCTCCACAGCAAAGGGGAGGTGGAGCACGCACTATCATAGCCAGTTGGATCGCCAACCTCCGAGGGGAGACGGCGACCTAAGAAGAAGTACGGAAAATCTGATACTTACATATAGATAATAAAGCACAAATAATCGTTTGCCATACCACACTGTTCAGATATACTGGCAGATCTGGTTGAATTTGGCTACTCGAAACACCGTTAGTTACAGAAGAATCCGAATTTGATGTAGAACTTACACATACTCCGTTGACCGGTTTACTAAAAAAAAACGTAATTAGTGTAAAGTTTCATAGTTGATAAATATTAGTACTTACGTGCCACTGGGACATTCCGCAACACAGTTTCTAGGAGAATGGATATCATGGCCATTAGTGTAATGTAAATATCTGTAAAAATATATCACATTAAAAGAATCATATTCTACTTTAAATAATGAAAAACTTTTCATTATTAAAGTTAAAATTTAAACATGTATTAAATGATTTCTTATAATTTCATAGAGGGATATTTTGAGATAGATAACTTTCGCATTCCAGGCAAAACTAAAATTTCCTAAAGTCTTACAAAAAACAGTAATTTTCAGTCACTAATGTTTCTAAAGATCCCAAGCAGACCAGAACAAACAGTCACTTATATCATATCGCCAAAAAAATGGCGTCAATTAAACATACCTTGCTTAGGAAATACAAGATATTGAATAATTGTACTGACAAGGAAGGAAAGCACGGGTAACATTTCTGATATATTTGCTGTTGCGAAATGCAATATTTCAGATATAAAAAGACGAAAATAAAAATAAGGAATTTTGTGGTGAAATCATACTAAGGTACAAAATAAAAAAATAATTATAAATGAACTTAAGGAGAAAAAGAATTTGTGTTGGCTGAAATGTAGCCAGAAACAAACTGAAGAAAATAAATAAACTTATCAAGGAAGCAGTGGGAACAAAAATAATCAAACCTAGCCAAAACAAATGGCGACTTAAAATGTAAAAATGAAACTTAACGATGCTGTCAAATCCTTCTCACAAAACTTTCACATGGTTGAAGAAAACGATGTTTCTATGCAAGATATTTTGCTTTTGAAAAGACTAAAAGAGAAGGCTGTTGAGGCAGCAAACTCGATAAATATGCAGATAAAAATCGTTTCATTTTTTAAAAAACCTTCCAATTATATATAAATTTCACATTTGTTCATATTTTTATGTAAGTATTTAATGTGTATTAAGATGCATATTAACCTAATACGGAATAGGTATTGCTTTACATATTTTCTAATTTTAACTAAGTAAATTAAAATAGGAACCAAAGTTATTTTATGCCCAATGTCTATATACAAAATATTATTTTTTATATCAGAAAAAATAAAAAAAGTTATAGGGGAAAACCACTCTTGAGAAACACCCTACATATCACGGTCCTAGTTCTAGTTTACAAAATAACAATCGCAGCAAAATCGTAAATCGCAACTATAGTAATATTGGTTGCCTAAATTGAAACTCGCAAATAAAAAAATAGCAGTCGCAGTTTCTTATGAGAGCCGATTGAATCGCAGAGTGAGATTTGTTGCTCATTTCTAAATTATACTGTATATCTAAGAAGATATTTTTAAAAGGTGCAGGATATTAATAAAAATATTGGGTTCACACCTGTATAACAGTACAAAAAAAATACTTACGGTAAGTTAGTCATATCTTTTCCGGAGCAAGAAATTCCATCAAATTTTTCATTTTTCATGCCACAAACATTACCACACTGATCGTAGCCCACCATTATTCTTTTAATATTTGAATGATACAAGGTATATCCCATAAAAGGTATCTAAAATAAAAAAAAATAAACGCCTAGTACAAATATTTTGTTAATTTTAAGTAAGGGTATATAGAAAACATTAAATATTTAATTCCAAAAATGAATGCGACGTTTTCAATTTAATTAACAATAATAATCCGGTTTATTTAACAATTCCGCTTATTTATCAATATATTTATTCAAAAACAATGTTCATGTTTAATTATTGGATAATTATATGTTTCACTTAGGCGTTACTGAATTATATAAAAAAATATAGGGTGAATAACGATTAACGATGGTAGGTTAGACGTTTATGGAGAACCGATTACAGTTGAGGGTTGGAACCTTTGGTGTTACACAGCAAAATAAAACACTAAATCACCACAATACACCAAAACAATTTTACTTTTACACTGGACGCGCACTTCGCTAACCATGGTAGCATCATCAGCAGATGATTATAAACTAAAGTACAATCTACAAGTTGAGCGTTTATATGGCTAATTTATTCATGAGCAGGTTTGAAGTGGAGGCTAAGAATCAGTTTGAGTATTTTCCAAAAGTATGGTTTAGGTATGTGGATGATATTCTTGCTGTTTTTGAGACACATTCAGACACCATAGATGTACAGTGTGTCCCATTTTGGTTGAAATCATAGGGTATCTCCGTTATTAGTGAAGATAGAAGGGTGCGGTTTGCACAAACCTGTCCCACTTTTTCGTCAAACGGAAGATGCTGCAAACAAAATGTTCATAGCCCTCTTCATTTCTGAGCTACAGGGTCTTTTCGAAAATTTTGCAATTTGGGACACCCCCTGTATCTCTGTTATTGTTAAAGGTATCGAGAAGGCAAAATCTGCTTATTGTAGAACTTTTTTACGTAGAATACAGTTATGTTTTTTCAAATGGAACACCCTGTATATTTATAAATCATATGATCTGTTTTGCTATGAGCTTCTCAAAAATATATATCACTCTATATTTATTTTCACTATTTACTGCAATATTTAAAATAATATATCATTTTCTGATTAGTAGGCCATGATAAATAACAAAAAATCAAAATGGTATTTACTAAAATAGTCATACACATATTAAAATTTATTTGGGATTGATATAAATTACTTTTGAAATAACTGTTACCACTGAAACTGTGAATATATTTTTCTTTTTTTTTTATAACGGGATGGGTTTGCAAATATCTAAATCTTGAATTATTAAAACATTTTTCAGGTGTTCGACATGTTGTAGTGCCTACGATATATTTCGTATTTCAAAAATTCCCAAAATCATAAATCGAGAACGGCGAAATCCGGGAATCGAGGAGGCTATCAATATGCGTTCATTGGTTCCATTGGTTGCATTCATTGATATGAAAAATAATAACTTAACAGTATTCTAATATTTCCATAGTTATGAGGGTGAATGTTCCCCATCTTGCTGAAAGTATATTTCACGTAAATTAGCTAAAGGAATATCTAAAATTTCCGATACGATAGATAGATTATTCTTATGTATACACGTATTCCAAGATTTACAAATAGCGGTAGAGAGTTAAGTTTCCCTAATATATAAAGAATTTATTAGCACCTCCCAAAATAAAACAAGAGACAGATAGCAGTATACTTTTAATAATTCTTTAGTTTCTTTTATTATCAATCATGGCCTACTAATAAATATGATGTTTTAATAAAAACTTTTAAATATTGCAGTAAATAGTGAAAATAAATATAGAGTAATATATATTTTTGAGAAGCTTATGGCAAGACAGATCATGATTTATAAATATATAGGGTGTTCCATTTAAAAAAACATAACTTTAGTTCATATTTTAAAAAATATTTTTTTTGTAGAAAAACAGACGCCACTGTATTCTACGTAAAAAGTTCTACAATAAACAATTTTCACCTTCTCGATAGCTTTAACAATAACAGAGATACAGGAGGTGTCCCAAATTGCAAAACTTTCAAAAAGACCCTGTAGCTCGGAAACGAAGAGGACTATGAAAATTTTGTTTACGGCATCTTCCGTTTGACAAAAAAGTGAGACAGGTTTGTGCAAACCGCACCCTTCTATCTTCACTAATAACGGAGATACCGTATGATTTCAACCAAAATGGGACACCCTGTACAGCACGTGCCGAGTTTGGTTCCAATCGACCCATAATTAAGAAAAATCCTGATGATTTCGTCCCTTTAAAGGAATCGATCGATTCGAAACCTTAAAGGCCCCAGCCTGTAGCCCATTCCCAATCCCCAATTATGCCAAAATCGACCCACATTTTTCTTCAATAACAAATCGTTAGACCCACCCTGATGAAGATGTAAACGAAACGTCGCGTCGTATCCAAAATTTTTCCTCTCGCGTCTAATGTGTATACGGCCTTCAATTTTTACTCCCATCGCGCGTAAAGAAGTTCCACTTCAAAAGCTCCCATATTTTTCCTCTTTTAAGGTGGATATTGACTTGAGCCGACCGCTGTAATGTAACGCTTGTTCGCTGCTCGCGACGAGCGTTTAGTTCGGAGTCGAAACGCGAAAATCTCGTTTCTAATGCTCGACTCACTGTGTATTATTTTAGCTTTTAAAAAATGTCGGATCTAAAAATTGGGACGTTTATTCAAACCTTTTAGCTACGGTAATCGCAAAACAGTTTCCGATGCACGTGATCAGCTTTCAGTGACAAGCGATGGCGACAGCGCTGCCAGATTGTGATGGATTTATGAGATGAATCTTAACGTAAAATTGGGAAACAATGTATTTATTACATAATTTTTTAAGATTTTTACGTTTTATTTTTAATTTAATAATTAATATTTTAGTAATTAATTGATTTATTTGTTTTATAGCTTATTCTACTTATTACATATTGCCAAAAACTAGTTCGTTATGAAGATTATTCTAAGCGTTATTATGGATTATGTTTCATTTATTGATGTACATCTTACAACACCACATGTGGTAATAACAAGTAACAGGAAATGCACAATGTATAATGGTGTTTACCAATCAACTTACTTCTCTGACTGCAGTCAATAATAAAGGATATTTATTGTTACGTTCTCGTTCAAAATAGTTTATCAGGGAAGCTACAAGCTTTTTGCTTTGACTGCTTAAATGCTTCAGCATATTTTCAACCCACAATTTCAAGAAATGCAATACAAAAACTCGAAAACTTAGTTCTTAAAAGAACTATTTGTGCTTAAAAGTACAATTTTTAAAAAAAGACAATGAAAATAGCCAAAAAACGAGAATTACTCGCAAAGATTTAACAACAACACGATATTATACAACATAATGACTGACATGATAATTGTCAAATAATAAACGACAACGTTGCTGAACATGGAGCAATGCGACCAATATAGCGATAATAAAATTTGGTTTAAACTAATTTTTGCAGCTTTAATCTAAATAAAATATCTGTTACAATCATTTGTTCTATAAATTAAAACGAAGGGCTGCTCGGTATCAAAATTATACAACAAATTTAAACATTATTGCCAAAATTTCAACTAGTCAGGTTTAATAGGCTTTAGTGTCAATTTCGATATGATTGATGACGTGCATCGGAAAATGTTTTGCGATTACCGTATTTATTTATATTTCTTGCAATTAATAGAGTCATGTTTAACCACAATTAAAACCACTGTATCTACTAGAAATATGGTTGGAATACGGACTTTAAACACTGACTTGTAACAATCAAAGAGATTCGCTAAAAATCTGAGCCGCTCGGTTCGCCGATTATTTCCGGGCATTGTCTAGCGAATCCTCGTGTTACAAAACGTTACATTACAACGCTCGTGTCAAGTCAATCTCTGCCTTAAATATTAGCGATGGGAACTATCGAATGAATTAGACTATCGAATGGTTAATGAATGAATGATTTCAACTATCGAATGGTTTTATTCGAATAAAATCATTCATTCATTTGTATACTAAAGCATATGTGACAACCTCGCCGTGCGACTAAATGGTTATCGTTGAGCCACGACTATCGAATGCTTTTGATAAATGAAATTTAGTATTCGTTTGATTATTATTACTACTATTTTTGCGTTTATTAAAATAGTTAAAATACTAAAATAGTAGTTAATTTTGAATTTTATTTATTGACGATTGTGTGCATGTGCAGGTGGTCAAAATTTTTCCGAAAATTTGTGTGGTCTTCCATAGTCCGATCTTTCAATTATTTAATTTTATATGGTATATGGTCTATTTTTTAATGGGAAATTTTGAGAAGTAGCAATTTTTAAGAGAGATGAGATGAACTTACAATTAATTTTAAAAATACATATTTGTATTTTAGATGTTTTAATAATATGAATTAGTTGAACTTAATAATCATATTTAAGTAATGTGGTTAAGTAAATGGGGTAATCGAACTCAAACTATGGGGTGAGAAAATTAAAATGAAAGTTTTACAGGTGCCAATTTTAAAAAAAAGTTAACGATTTTGTATTTTGTTTATGCTAATTCTCTTACATGTAGTTTTTTGCGAAGAAATATTTCATTTATTTTTTAAAGTAAATGCCAGTAAAAGTAAATATAATTTTTAAATAGAAATATGAAGCACCTAATATAAATAATTTTGATTTCTAATTTTTTATTTATATTTTCGTTCCATTACACTGCATGATTAGAAAATTAATAAATGTTTATATTTCATGATTTTAAAATTTGTTGTTAATATAACAAATTAGTTCTGTAATTATTATTATTCAATAAACCAACGTTGCCAAAAAATTTAGAGACTATATTATTTTTAAATAGGATCTAATATAAATAATTTTGACATCTAATTTGTTGTTTATATTTTGCTAATACTTAAAAAAAATATTTATATTAAATCATTTTAAATTTTGTTGTTAATAGGTATAACAAATTATTACTGTTATTATTATTTATTAAACCAGTCTTTGCTTAAAAACATTAAAAATCATTTTCTTACATCCAAAATAACAAGTATTATTGCAGTGTAACAACAGGATATTAATAAAAAAAAATTCAGAATATATAGACATACTATCCCTAACTAACTAAAGCCAAACAATAATATTCTTTGCTAATATCAACTAATACCAAAATATGGCAACAGCGCCCTTCATAATGTATTTTCTGTGTAAATACTAGCACCTCAATAAAAAAAATAATGTGTCGTTATCTATATCTGACTCCGCAAAAAATCAAAGATGCCGGCTTCTTTCATAGCATTGCCACCGACCGCTGTCGGGTTTGGAAACCTACGTCGCCGGGCGACAACTAAAATTCAGTTAATATTTTTTATAATCGATCCTGACGAATAAATGAATTTCATAAATGAATGAATTTTATAAATGAATGGTTTTTGCTGCCGAATTACTAGAATACAATATTTCAAGGCAGATGACGGATCTATTCGATAATTTTTATTCGAATAGTTTTCAACGAATGTTTTCTTACTAACTATCGAATTATTCGAATGAATTGCAACTATCGAATGTTTCGATAGTATTCATTCGATAGTTCCCACTACTATTAAATATACTTACGAACACGAGCACAAAAATTCCAAGCGTAATAAGCCATCCAAAATTCGTCCTTGTCCTGTTTTCAGATTTTTCAGGAATTTCAATTGAATCCAGTGGGACCGAGGATGGTAACTTTTTAAATGCTACCAGCTATAGAAAAGACAATTTATTAGCTATCTTTACATTTCCTATACATTCGTTCCAAATTACATTAAAACCAACTTTAGCTATATTTTTTTGCGAAAAATTATATCCCCTAACAAGAAAAACAGTTTTTCATAATTATTTTTTAAAACTTCAAAACTAAAATAAAAGACATTTAGGTAAAATAGATAGAGACGGACAGAAAATGATTTACCTCTTCTTTTCCAATTCTCTATGCAATTTATATTGAAATTTTCAATATTGTATCACTTTCTAAAAAAAACGTTATCTTGTCTGACATTACATGGTCAACCATTTTTCATAAAATTTGTATTGAAGTTAATATGATCTTAAAAAGAGTATTAAGACTTCGAATATCTTTAGAAGCACTATTTATGAGATACAAAACTACTCTAATGGATAAAGTTTGTCTTTTTCAAGCTACAATATTCTTTTACCGTTAAATAATAAATATATTGATATAAGTAATTCGGAACGCCATGTAAGCTAAAAACGTCAATAAATATATAGTAAAATTAGATAAATTGTTAAATTATAGGAAACTACGGAAATATTACCTCTTGAGGCTGCAATAGACTACTTCCTAACCCCATATTTAAGGCGCGTCAATATTTACCAGATTTCTGAAAAAAAAAATAAAGATTATACAGGAAACAACAAGTAGTAAATATCGTAATTAAAATAAAAAAATTGTATGCAAAACAAAAAAAAAACATTACCTATTACATATGAAGAGTAAGGGAAAAAAACGACGATGTTCTTTTTATAGGAATTTTTAAGTAATCAGCTGTTGAGAATAGAAAGTCCTAAACACATGCTAAATTGTAATTGAATATAACAAGCGATATCCAAATAATAACGCATCCCCAGTAATATTTTTTGTATCTTAATGTATAACATAATATTTGGCAACAAATCAGTTTCCCTGTAAAAGTCAGTTTTGTGACATCTTCTATTTTTTCTCCTTACCCTTCACATACCGGGTGCCTCACAAAAGTGGCTCACTCCTACAACTTTTTTATTTTTTCAGTTAAAAAAACGAGATTTGGTATGTTAGTATATGATATAAATTAGGATTGAGTGACGTATTCACTTGTTTCTAGTCACTTTATCGGAAATGACTACAACTTTTGATTTTTAAATGGCACCCTCGGTATTTTTTTACTTGATTCGATAGAAAATGACATTCTGAATAGGATGACATATCATATGTCAATTTTGACATTTTTGCATATGGTTTATTTGAAATTATACCTTGCGGTTTGTAACGAAAATTTGACTCGAAATACCAAGTGTGTGGTATCAAATTATTCGTAAAAAAATGCTTTTCCAAATATGCTAATGAGCCAGCCTCGTTCCATTTGAAAAAATTGAGATATGATTAAAAATACGATTTGAGCATTTTCTAACCGGTCAGGACAAGACACTAAAAACATTAGACGATCAAATCTATTTTTCCATTGCTCCTTGATCAAGAATTAGTATTTTTAGCATAGCCATGGCACTCTAGATTGAATTTTAAAATACAATTTTTATTAAGCGAGAATGTCAAAAGTTGACATATGATATGTCATTCTATTCAGAATGTTATTTTCTATCGAATAAAGTAAAAAAATACCAAGGGTGCCATTTAAAAATCAAAAGTTGTAGTCATTTCCGGTGAAACAGGAAGCGACCAAAAAGAGTTGAATACGTCAATAAATCCTAATTTATGTCATATACTAACATACCAAATCTCGTTTTTTTATCTGAAAAAATAAAAAAGTTATAGGGGTGAGCCACTTTTGAGACGCACCCGGTATATCATAAGAAATAAATTTTGATTAGGTGTGTTTGTAGCCGGCTTTAAGAATAAACGATTGATACCATACGATCTAAAAAAATCGGCGTCAAAGACGGCTTGGAAATGAAGATCGCTGTGATTTTGAATATATTGAATTATATGGGGATTGTCATAGATCTTCATGTCAAGGCCACGCCGCACAGTGCTTCGAACATACGGCTCTAGAGGACAAAAATGCAAAACTTCTCTTTTATTGTAGGCAATTTATTCAAACTAGGTTTATTTGACACAAATGATGAGTACTCTCATTGTACTAAATGATGATGTTCTTAGTCCCACGTTTATGAAAAAAAATCTTCTAATTAATAAAAATATGGGAGCTGTGTTTCATCTAAAGAAATAATAATTTATAGTATGAAAACGGTGTAAGTATTAAATAAATCCCTGTGATAAAAAAGAATTGGAATAACATTAGAACATGATTCCTACAATATAAGCCAATATAAGATAAAAATATTTTTCTTTAATGAAAAAGAAACATTAATGCTATATTTAATTAAAAAAAAACTGAAGATACTATAAATTTACTTCAGGACAACAAAATGCATAGATCGTAACTACTCTGATTCAGAGGAATCACTGCTGACAGAATCTTCCAAATTTATAGTATCCAAATCACAGGTAGATGAAATATCCTCACATATATGATATTTCTGTAAATCAGTTTCTAATATGTTACTTTTTCGCGTTGTTACTGTTCTTTTTGTTGGTATGAGGGGTTCGGATGTTAATAGTTACCTCTTTAATAGACCATATCAATATATTATTTTTTCGTTTTCTTGGGTATGAAGTTTTATAATAAATTGAAAGATGGAAACTTTTTATGCGACGTTTCGCTCCAAAATAGTGGGCTTTTTTCAGGCTCAAATGGTCTCATTTGACTGGAAGGTTCATCAATATCTAATAAGAACACATTTTTTGAAATACAAATAATTTTGAGTTCTTGTCCTTATGATCAAGCCAAGTATTAACCAGATCGGCATTGCTTGTCAATTTTACTCCATCTGAAAAGTATTATAAAATAAAGTTCGTCGCAAGCAGACGCAGGTGAACTATACAAAAATTAAAAGTGTATGGATATGACAACAAAAATATTCAATAAATACGATATGTTTTGATATGTTTTTTTTAAATGCCTTTTTGAAGTTTGAAAACGTAAAATTTTTATACCCATTTAAGGTTCATTATAAAAAATAAATAAAAACTAAACAATAACGAACTTGTTTAGAAATAAATTTAAAGTACATACCTTGTTTAACAATATCCATAGTGGCTTTCAATTAAGTACGTACTAACTCGTTTACGTTTAACTCCATATACAGAACTACTATGAATGTTATTCTTTTCATTGATATAAGATAATGATCGCAAAATTTATTATAACAAAAAAACGCTGTTTATGAAAAATAATATACAGTATGGTTGAACATTGCTATAAGTATAAAATTACATATTCAGATATTAGTAAATTTTAACTTTTTTTTCGATTTTTGTCCATGGGACGAAGCACTGTGCGCCGTTTTTCTTTTCGCTCTTACGGTAAATATAAATATGAGGAGATGATAAAAACATACTTCTTCATTTAAAAAAATGTCGTTTTATAAACTAAAAGAGATGCACTTAAAGAAGCATTATTGAGTAAAAAATGTGCAATAAAAAATGTGTTTTTAATTAGGTATAACATGGAAACTTATCGATATTTGCATGGAATCGAAATAGTCAATACATCTCATAATTGACAAAAATTAAACATGTTGACTGGATATAGTTATTAGTTTGAAATAATAAATTTGAAATATTTTTTGTGCCAAACAGCGCTTTCAGATGGAGCGGAGCGTCCGCTCGGACAGTCCGTCGTGTTTTTTCAAGATAGCCGTCGGACGAAATCATCCGGACGGAGCATACGCGACCCATGTGAAATCTATATTTCTATACTAATATACAGGGTGTTTCAAAACAAATGCGAAAAACTTCAGGGGGTGATTCCTTGTTCAAAATAAAGGGTAGTTTGCTTCATAAACGTTGGGTCAAAAGTCAACCATTAGGGAGATATTGCGGTACAAAGATGGCGGAAAAATAATGTTTTTATTTTTTATCTTGAAAACGAAAAGAGATAGACTAATAAAATTTTATGGAAGCATTACTGTTATGAAAACACACTTTCTGGTAATTTTTTCACTTTTTTAAAATGAGTGGAAGGGGTTGAAATAAATTACCCCTATCATTCTTGTTAACGAAATTTAAAGAAAAATCTTATCAAATACATGCACAAAAATTAATTTGGATAGTTTAGTTTGTTTAGAAACTTTTTTATCTCTTGTATTTATTTTGATAAAACTCACCGATTTGAAATTAAAAAATAAAATGTAAAGCATTACATGTCAGGACAAAAAACATTTTCTGATAAAGAATCTAGTGGGCTGCTGTAATTTTTTAGGAAAAAATCTAGTCGGCCGCTGTTACTTTAGGATGTTCCTAATATTATTTTATTTGACATTACTCTACTGCAATACGTTATTATCTAGATGATTATTATTATCGTTATTATCACTAGATTGTTCATCTAAAAATGTTTTTTGTCCTGACATGTAATGCTTTACATTTTATTTTTTAATTTCCAATCGGTGAGTTTTATCAAAAAAACACAAGAGGTAAAAAAGTTTCTAAACAAACTAAACTATCCAGCAGCCCACTAGATTCTTTATCAGAAAATGTTTTTTGTGTGACATGTAATGCTTTACATTTTATTTTTTAATTTCAAATCGGTGAGTTTTATCAAAAAAATACAAGAGATAAAAAAGTTTCTAAACAAACTAAACTATCCAAATTATTTTTTTTGCATGTGTTTGATAAGATTTTCTTTAAATTTCGTTAACAAGAATGAAGGGGTAGTTTATTTCAACCCCTTCCACTCATTTTAAAAAAGTAAAAAATTACCTGAAAGTGTGTTTTCATAACAGTAATGCTTCCATAAAATTTCATTAGTCTATCTCTTTCGTTTTCAAGATAAAAAATAAAAACATTATTTTTCCGCCATCTTTGTACCGCGATATCTCCCTAATGGTTGACTTTTGACCCAACGTTTATAAAGCAAACTACTCTTTATTTTGAACAAGGAATCACCCCCTAAAGTTTTTCGCATTTGTTTTGAAACACCCTGTATAAAATCCTTAAGTGACTGACATACTGATTAATCACGATCCTGCTCAAACCACTCAACGTAAGAAGCTCAATTTTAGCGTACAGGTTGGTTCTAGGGTGTAGAGGTTCGATAAGAAGGGATTTTTCGAAATTCCAGTTCCAAGAGGGTGAAACCACCCCTCAAATATTACAATATTTTTTATTTAAAAAACGGTCAAGTTTCCGAAAAAACGCTTAAACACGGATATTTTATTTTGTTTTTTTACATATTTTAAGATTTTTTAAAAATGTATACAGGGTGTTTCGAAAAATCTTGTCATTGATTAATTACGATCCTGCTTAAAGCACTTGACGTGAAAAGCTGATTTTTGGAAAACAGATTGACTTTAGGATGTAGAGGTTCGATAAGAAGGGATTTTTCGAAACTCGAATTCTAAGGGGGTGAAACTATCCCTCAAATATTAAAATATTTTTTATTATAAAACCGGTGAGTTTTTCGGAAAAACTCTTAAACACGTATATTTTATTTTGTTTAAATGTATACAGGGTGTTTCAGAAAATATGACCATTGAGTAATCACGATTCTGCTTAAATATTTGTTATTTAAAAAACGGTTAGTCTTTCGGGAAAACGCTTGGA